GCTGCTTTTTGAGAAACTGTCTCCAGGTATCTTGTTTCTGGCTGGGGACCCGGCTCAAGTGGTACAGCATGAGGCCTTGGTACCATCAGGAAAAAAAAATTTTTTTTTTTCCCTAGTAGCAGTTCCTCCAAGTACAGAAATGCAAGCTGTGGATCACTTACTGTCTTTCAAAACAAAATTCATTTCTTCAACAGCTGTCAACACTAGAAGCTTCATTTATTGTGCAAAAGTCGTGGCCTTTACTTCCTATGCATTTTAATTTTAAAATTTTGATTCTTCTACCAACCAAATTGTTTCATGTAAAAAACAGAACTCCAAGCTAGGTGCAAGACCTATGCCTGTAATTTTCATTTTCACGAATACTGCCTTTTGTGTCTATGTGTGTTGCTGCCTTTTGTTAAATACTTTGATTAGATGTAACATAAATTAGTGACAATGCTGGAGGTGTGGATCAAGTGGGAGTGACTGCCTACTAAGAGCAAGACCTTGAGTTCAACCCCATTAATAGTAAAAAAAAAAAAAAACTGACTTAATAACAAACCCATACACAGAAATGATGCTCTTAAATACTTTCCTGTTGGGCACCGGTGGCTCACACCTGTAATCCTAGCTACTTGGACTAGTAGCTAAGAGGACTGAGGTTCAAAAAGCCAGCTAGGGCAAATAGTTGAGACCCTATCTTGAAAAAACCCACCACAAAATAAGAGCTGGTGGAGTTGCTCAAGAGGTACAGCACCTGCTTAGCAAGCGTGAGGCCCTGAGTTCAATCCTTAGTGCCACAAAATTTTTTTCCTTACAAAATTATGCGTAACAACATTTTGAATGTGTATGTAAGTGCTGTCTTAATTTTCTGTTTCTCTACAGAATGAAACCATTTCCATTTGGCAAGTTAGGAAATTAAGACAGAACCTTCTCCTCCCTGGTTTAGCTTCACATTTCTTACATGCAACTTTTTGTGTGTGTGTGTGATACTGGAGAATTTGAATTCAGGCTCTTGCACTTGCTAGAAAGTGTTCTACACTTGAACCACACCCTGTCTTTTCTAAAATTTTTGTTTTTCTGTACTTGGGTTTGAACTCAGGGCCTATACCTTGAGCCACCTCACCAGCCCTTTTTTGTGATGGTTGTTTTCAAAATAGTGTCTCAAAAACTTTTTGCCCCAGCTGCCGTCAAACCTTGATCCTGGGTAGCTAGGATTATAGGAGTGAGCCACTGTCGCCAGACTAAAATCTTGGTTTTTAATTTTTCTTTTTGAGACATGTCACTATGTTGTCCAGGCTGGCATCGAGATCCAATCCTCCTGTCCCCTACATCCCCAGTGCTGGGATTATAGATGTGTATACCACATGTGGGTTTTAAGATGGATTTCTGATGAATCGACTTTAGACATTCACCTCCTATTATGGAGAGGATTTTACCTGATTGACCCTTTTGTCAACAGAGCTCCTTCTTTTTTTATTGACTGCCATCTCAGTGTTTCCATTACTATGACTTAGTACATGTACTTTTCAGTTTTCTTACATCCTCCATAGTGCTAACATCCCATTACCCAAATCAACACAGTTCAACCTGTCTCCTAAGTAGGTCTAGCTCTGGCCACCAATCCAGATTGGCTGCCAAGTGGCAGCCCCATCTCAGGACTTCCCTTTATCTTACTCCTATGTTGGATCCAATCTCTAGACACTATATTGTACTTTTTCTTTATTTACTTACTTGCTTATCCATGGCCTTGTGCATGTGATGCACTCAGTACTATCTTACTTTCTTGAGACAGGGCCTATGTTGCCCAGGCTGGTCTTGAATTTCCTGGGCTCAAGGGACCATGCCACCTCAGTCTCCTGGACATCTGTGATCACAGACACCCACTATAGGCCTCAGGGGTTTTGTTTTTCCATGATCTTAGAGATTCAACCCCGGACCTCACACATAGTAGGCAAGGCTCTACCACTGTACTACATGGCCAGTCTTGATTTATGGGTTTGTTTTGTGGAACTGGAGTTTGAACTCAGGCCTTCATGCTTGCAACACAGGTGCTCTACTGCTTGAGCCACACCTTCGGTCCACTTTGCTCTGGTTATTTCAGAGCAAATTATTTGCCTGGGCTGGCCTCTAAATATGATCCTCCTGATCTGTCTTCCAAATAGCTATAATCACAGGTGTGAGGCACCCAGCACCCTGTGCTGATTTACTTTTTAGGGTGGGAAGGGGGAAGATTTACTGTTTTGATGGAGTATATCCAATAGCTTTCTGAGAACCAGTGGAAATATAATTGGATATATAATACAGCCAAACTTTTTTTTTTGTGGGGGGGAGGCACAGGGGTTTGAACTCAGGGTCTCATGCTTGGTAATCAGGCACTCTACTACTTGAGCCACTCTGCTGGCCATTCTTTTTATATTGGGTTTTTCAGTATAGGATCTCTCAAACTATTTGCCAGGTCTGGCTTTAAGCCACGATCCTTCTGATCTCTGCCACCTGAGTAGCTAGGATTACAGGTGTGAGCTACCAGTGCCCAGCTCTGGGTTTCGTATTTTTGAGATAGGGTTGCAAGACCTGCTTGCCTGGGCTGGCCTTCATCTGCAATCCTAATGATCTGTCTCCTGAGTAGCTAGAATTACAGCCATGAGCCACCAGCAGTATCCCAACTACTCCTAGTTTCCCCTGTTGCTGCTAAGAATCCAAGGCTAGCATTATTTTGAATCCTTTTTTGCCATTTGACAACTTGTAGAATATTCTGTGTCCAGTGTTGTAACATTTTATGGTGGTATGTGTCTTTATTATTATGATATTATTATTCAGTGTTTTTTTAATAATCTTGAAATTTGTAATTTTATCAGGAAAATTTTTTTGTGGTGGGAATGAAGTTTGAATTCAGGGATTCGTGTTTCCAAAGCAGACACTCCACCACTTGAACTACACTTTTAGTTCATTTTGCTCTGGTTATTTTGGAGATTGGATATTGAGAACTATTTGCCTAGGCTGGTCTTGAACCTCAATCCTCCTGATCTCAGCCTTCCAAAGTAGTTAGGATTTACAGTGGAGTTACAGGCGCACAGCTTTTTCTTGTATTTTTAAGTAAATTCCATCCATGTCTCTTTTCTCAAGTTCTCTTCATGGAAATGTCCTGAAGAGATCCAACTTTTTTCCCTCAACTTTTTTTCCCCTCCACTTTTGATTTCTGTTCTAAAACATTTTGTTGTCTTTCTACATTCTCAACGAAACTTATCGTTTCTTGTTCTTTTACTAGTATTCTGCTATAATACATATATTTTGCAGTACTCATGTTTGACCTCAGGGCCTACACCTTGAGCCACTCCACCACCACTTTTTTGTGATTTTTTTTTTACGAGTGCCCAGCTTCTAATTTTTTCCTTTTGGTGGTACTTAGGTTTGAACTCAGGTCTTTGTGCTTACTGGGGAGGCACTCTATCACTTGAGCCACACCTCCAGTCTATATTTGTTTTTGTTATTGTACCAGAGGTGGCCTAATTTCTTGACTATAGTATCTGCCTAAAGATATTATGGTTCTCTGAAATTTCCTGATTTTTGAGAATTACTTTATGTTTATAACTAAAATAGTCTTGTCTTCAAATTTCTGGGGATATATAGGTGTGACTATTAAAATAAAACACCAGAGCTGGAGGTGTGGCTGAAGTCTTAGAGCACCTGCTTTGCAAGCTGGAAGTCCTGAGTTCAAACTCCAGTCCCACGAAAAATAAATAAAACACCAAAAACCTGTTTGGAAGATGTATGTTGGCAGAGCTTATTGGCTGGCACACCTCAACTGTAGTGGGATTGGTGGCCAGTTGGTTTTTTCTTCTGGAGACCCTTGAACGACACCTGTCTTTACTCTTGGGAGTCATTTAGTTTTTCCACAGGATCCTCCAACATCTTGCTGGTGAGTATACATCTGGCTGTTGGTATTCAACAGCTGAGTGAGGATAGGGAGCAAAGGATCTCATTTATACAGCATACAGAATTGTGTTTTGTCCCTACTTTGTTTTTTATTTATTTTCTGATTGTCCCTACTTTCTGGATAGCATAGCTTAGTACCTTTTTTCGGAGACTGGTGTTTAAACTCCAGGCTGAGCAGGTACTCTACCACTTGAGCCACATTTCCAGTGCATTTTGATCTGGGTATTTTGGAGAAGGGAAGCTCTCAAACTATTTGCCCAGGCTGGCCTTGAGGTCTCAACCTCCCAAATAGCTAGGATTACAGGCATGAGCTGGCGGCACACGGTTTAACGTGTCCTTCACTCCCAACTTTTTTTTTTTATTCATTTATTCACATGTGCATACATTGTTTGGGCCATTTCTCCCCCCTGCCCCTCCCCTTCTGACCCCCAACTTTAGAAACAATAATTACTTGTCAATCTTGGCCAACCACCCCCCCAAAAAAACCCAAAAACTCATTTCTGAAGCCAATGCTGCACACAGCAGTTTGAATAAAGCAAGTATTTCTAATAATGGAAGGAAACCCAAGGTGTCTATTAAAGATACTTAAAAGAAATCCTAGCTACTTGGGAGGCAGAGATCAGGAGGATAAAAGTTTGAAGTCAGCCCCAGGCAGAGTTCTCTAGACTCTATCTTGAAAATACCCAATTAAAACAGGACTGCCAGAGTAGCTCAAGTGGTAGAGTGCCTGCCTAGTAAGCATGAGAGTCTGAGTTCCAACCCCAGTACTGCCAAAAAAAAAAAAAGAAAAGAGAGAAGAAGAAATATTAGTTCTCATAAGTCAGCATTCATTTATAAAGGTTTACTTTTTTATTTCCTATATACACATTTTTGCCTTTCTAATTGAACTTTAACTTCAGGAGCATCCTACAACACTTTGTAAATCTATCACTCCCTTTGTAAATCCAATCTAGTTCTTTAAAAATGGAACAGAATCCTATCACACATATAAAAGGAAGATGATCAAAACTAGGATGTGAATCTCATTTTCAACGGGGAGGTTATCAATAATGAAAATGAGACCTTGATTTCATAATTAGTTAAGTCTGCAGAACAGAGTGGTATTAAATAGTAACCCAATGTAAAACATGGTTTCTGGAATAAGCTTTAAAAATATTAACAAATATCTGAGTGAATATAACAATATGGCTAGATAAAAAAAATTCTCACACACAAGAATCACTGCAAGAAGATCCCACAGGTTATAGAAAACATAAAAGAACTTTAATATCCAAACAGTCAGGGTAAAGAATACTGGATTAACGACCCATTGAGAGTGAATTACTTCAGGTTCTTTACAGTACCAGAATAAAATCTGAATGCATATTGCAGAGAATGAAATCATTTAAAAAACTTTAATTTCCTTACCTGATACTAATATCAGTATGATTTTTTTATTGAAAAAATTTTATCACTAAGATTTAAGCCAAAGTAAGCAATGTTCCTGAATGTGAATTTGTTCAGCAGTAACCTTTCCAACATGAACACTGGCACCACTTTCTTCTCAAAAAGAAGTGAATGTACATTTTACGATTTGTCAGCAACAAAATATACTGGCTAATGAAAACTGTTATTAATTGAAATAGTCAAAATGAAAGGAAAACTATACTTTTGTTCAGATTAAATTTTATGTCCAAACAGATTACCCTGTAGTCCATGAGATGTACAGGATAGAAAATCTTTTTTTGGTAAGAGAAAAATCATGAGTGTCCTAAAATAGAAATCTAAAAATACCTTCCTGATTGTTTTTGAGTATTTAGTTTAACCTAATTTTGGTTACATGCCCTGATCTGTAGATGTTAAGAAATAAAATTTGCAAGTTATTTAAAAAATTTACTCATCTTCCATAAAGCAAATTTTAATGTTTCAATACTTAAAAATACACAGTGACTTAATGAAACATCAGTATGACTGCATAGAATTCAGCTCCAGAGAATTATGCACTTAGAGCTGTCTTTCCTAGGCTCTGGTTTACAAGGGTACTGGCTTAGAGACCAGCTTAGAATCATTTGCTCCTACCTAGAACATAGGCCAGGAAACTGATGATTCCGAGGGCCTTTTCTGTTCTTAAATAAAATGCTGGGAGCTCTCTGAAGGTCTTAAAAACCACCAATTGAGTCAAGGAGGAGGAGGTTTGTGACCTTCACTAAAAACAAAACAAAACCAAAGTCCCACAACTCTTCTAAGACTCTGAAATGTAATAGAAATCTCAAAACTAGAATAATGCCATCAAAGATTAAACCTCTTACTGCTCAGAGCTACCCCAAAATAATAAATTTGGGAACTCCAAGAAAACAGGTACCAAAAGAATCAAAATAATGATTGCACTGAGGATTCTCTTCTTTGAAGGCTATTTAAGGAGGTAGGATTTCAAGGGTTTTTTTGTTTGTTTGTTTTGTTCATCTTTTGGCCTCTGAACATTAAAAAAAAAAAAAATGCTTTGCCCGGCTGGTCCTTCAGGCTAATTTTGGAGGTTCACAATGAATCCCAAGCCTGACATAAGAATTTCTACAGTTTCACAGCTATCATTTGTACATATTAAAATTAAGTTGATTTACTCTTTTTAAGTAAATCTAACTAGAAAACAGCAAGTTAATATATTCTTTTTACATACAACTTTGTCTCAAAATTCTTGAAAAACAAGAGCAGGATGACTGTATTCAAAGACTACCAAAGTGTGTATTTGATATCCACATGCAAACAACTTAAAACCTTATAAATCTCATGTCAACTATGAATGATGCCTTTAAGAAAATTACATACAAAGTTTGCTAACTGTGCAAAATATTAACTTGCTAAAACATTTTACATAATGAAATAGTACATGTAAATGTAGAAGTTGACAGATGAAACTGACATGGTATAAAAACTTATCACATTTTAGTTTTTGTTTTTACAGTTCCTGGTACACAGCAAAGTTTATCACAGAAGATAAAAATCATTTAAACAAATCCAACAGGGAATTCTTGAGGCACCTTCTCATATATAAAACACAAGATGAATACAATTATCAATCCATCTGAGAAAAATTTTCAATCTAAGAGAACATCATTCTTTTCCATTTAAGTGTATTGTACAGAACTTTAATAAGGCAGGACAAATTTGTGAAAAAATGTAGATACAAAAATGATGTAAACTATTTATATTTAAAAACTCCAAAGGGATAACAGAGGAGATAGGACAGCTCAAACAATGTCTGTTTATTTTTTTAACCTAAAACAAAATTGTGCACAAGCTGAAGATTACAAAGACCTTCCAGACTTTGCACAGGTTTGGTTTTTCTCTTTTTGCATCTTTATATTACATGTTTTAAATCATACCAGGAATGCAAACTAGAACTGCACGCTACTTTAGTGAAAAAAGTTCAACATTGTGCAATTTTCTGCCTCTTAATTTTTAAAAGTGGCAGCAATCCCTGCATTTGTATTTGAAACAAGGATCTGAGAAACTTTATCAAAAAAGATAATGAAGGCAAAAATTGGCAGACATCCAGCATCTTGTTTCTTTTTCAAACAGTGTGGATGATAAGTAATTTCATGATTTAAAAATGAATCTCTTAAATAAATACATTGTATCTGACATTTGCACTGACTGTTAGATAAATCTTTTAAGTAAACAACGGCTTCACTACACTCCCTGTAGCCTCAAGCCACTGGCTTTAGATGCTGGAGTCCATTTTCACTGGGTTTCATACCCTGCCACTCGATACCCCGCAGGCTGACTGGGCAACATGCTGCCATTCTGCCCTTGAGGTGGTGGTACTCCGTAATTTGGTCCCATCCAAGGTGCAGAAGACTGTGTCTGACTGGTAGAGAATGTGAAAGAAGCACAGGGGAGGGAAATCCACTGGTTAAAGCTATGTCATGCCAAGACAAATAACAAGTATACGGGACATGAGCAGCATACTTTTTCTTAAACCCAAATATAGTAATGGTTATACCAGGGAAAGCAAAGGCGAAAGTAAGTTTTTTCTCTTAAAGGCAGACGTCTCAAGCTGATGGAGTGGCTCAAGTGGTAGAGCGCCTGCTTAGCAAGAGTGATGTCCAGAATTCAAACCCCAGAACCGTCAGGGAAAAAAAAAAAAAAAAAGCAGGCATCAACATGTTCAATTTGGGCAGTTTAATTTCGTTAGAAGTTATGGCTAAGAAAGTACCTTTAGCACATATGAATAAAATAAAAATTAAAAAAAATACCTTTAACCTACAAACATTTTTCTCAGAAAAACACATCTCCTATATCAGAAAGGAAACCCATCCACTTCCATGTAGAATGGACATATGTGGATTAAGCCACTACTTGAAAGAAATGCTATCATTTGATAAAATAAAAACTAGCATTTAGCGCCTGCCTAGTGCAAGACCCTGAGTTTAAATTCCAATACCATCAAAAAACAAAACCAAAATATTTAGAGTCCAACTGTAAGGGAAGTAATGACAGAGGTGACTCCATTTTGCATGAGAGAGGCACTTTAAAGCAGACATCGAAAGAGGTGTGGGAAACAACAAAGCTTCACAGAGAAATAACAAACCCCTTACCAAAATAATAAGATGCAGCTGCACAATATGGGTAGTGGGCCCCAAGGCCAGGACGAGTTGGGCAAACTTCCAAGGCTAGGATGAGCTGACCACACCCTCCTGGAATGTCCAGTTCAATAAGGAGAGGGACAGACAGGTGGATGGATTTAGTGAGAAGTTGACTAGGTGCCAACCAATCACAAATGTAGTTTCAAGGTAAAATAGTTGGACCTAAGCCAATTAGAGCCCTTTATTACCCTACATACTTCAGCTATTCTACCACTTAGCTCTTTCACTAAGTCCCACCATTAAGATGCTTTGCTATCCTTTTAATAAACTTTGTGCTTGCTTTACTATTGACTCCTGGTCTGGCATCTTCAATCTTTGACTTCATCAGGATAAAAACTCAGGATCAACAATCTAGTATCACTACAAGCTTCAAGAACTAGCATTTACCACTGGGGCGTGGGCATGGCTCAAGTGGTAGTGCACTTGCCTAGCAAGATTGAGGCCCTGAGTTCAATCCCCAGAACTACAAAAAAAAGTATTTGTATCACTCAAAGAAATTAAAACAATTATTAGCATATGTAAATGCATACTTTTCAACATTACAAATCTAAGATTATTTTTTAAAGTGCAAATATTTTTATTTACATTTTGTTTTTCAGAAATGAAAGTAAAATGGAGTACTTCAGGTATATAAGGAAGCTTGCAATATGACAATGTATGAATAAACACTTTTGCACAGAAAAAAAGCAAAATGAATACATCAAAATAAGTGTATTGTTATTTTGTTTAGGCTGCTGATAAGCCATCAGACTGAGGAAGAACAGGGCCAGAGAAACTTCAAGGCCATGAGCATGGTCAGAGTTGCAATGGCAAACACCAGAAGCACTGGAGCAGCCAGGTTAAGGTCTGGTGGCATGCCATCACAGGATCGACTTCAACAAATGTCACTGAGTTGGTATAAGGTATCACCACTTAATGAGGAACCAGAGAGTCTTGCAACTGTCAGTCTTAAATTATAGGCCTCTGTCAATGAGTAGACACAAGCAATGCTAGCAAATAAAAGACTGCAGCTGCTTCCATCACTGATGGGCTCCAAATGAAGGACTATACACTTCTGGGAAAGGGAAAGATCCTAAAGCAGCCTGTTATCAGAAAGGCTGAATTCTTTAGCAGAAAAACAAGGACAAGATGAAGGGGGTTTGGGAACTGTCTCCTGGTAGGTAAAAGCCATGTGGAGTGAGGTTTATTAAGTGCTAACAAATGGGGACTGGAGGTGTGGCTCAGGTGGTAAGAGTGCTTAGTTGAAATCCCAGAATCACTAATTTAAAAAATGCTAACAAATGTTTTTCTTTTCTGTGAAAAAAATGTGTATCTAAGCATGGCCAACTGTCTATTAAGTCAGATGAAAAGTTTAACAACTATTAAGTACTTCTTACTAAAAAACAGATGATTCATTATCAAATATTACCAAATTTGTATGACCCCAATCCTTCAAGGCAAAATTTTAAAGAGAAATACTTAAAACTATAGATTAAGAACCACTCTAAAGTAAGCCTATAGAGTTATGCTTGGAGCCACATTACTTACTCATTACTTAAAATTTCTTTTGAGATTTTCCAAGATTAATAACGGAAGGGAGAATTTTTTTTTTTTTTTTTAATTATTTGGGGTTTGAACTCAGGGCTTTGTGCTGGCAAAGGAGGCATTCTACCACTTGAGCCACCCCTCCCCAAGGTTAATAATAAAAAAGATCAAATATGCTTACTTAAATCCCTGCTGGTTCCACGCCTGGCCATACATTCCATATGCAGGTACTTGCCAACCATTAGGCATATACTGGCCAATCTGTTGTGCATTTCCATACCACTGGCCCCACTGGCCATAAGCTTGTGGATATCCAATTTGATTTTGCTATTAAGTAAAATTACAAACAGATAATTTAGTAGTACTTTAAATTATCTGTGTGTATATTTCTATACACACACATATATACACAGTCCTAATATACCACAGTTTATCAAAACAGGGGTATCATTACAATTAACATGACAGGATAGGTCCTTTGTACAATTAATAGGTTTTTTTTTTTTTTTTTTTTAAAAAAAGGACAGGATAGGGCTGAGGATGTAGCTCAGTGTTACAGTGCTTGCTTAGAATATGTAAGGCCTTGAATTTGATCCCCAGTATCACACAAAAACAAAACAAACTAAAAAAAGACTGAAGTCAAAAGGTGAGGTTATATTGCTATAACACTACATCATACTCTAAATGACATAGCCTTTGCAAAGCAGCAGGAAATTCCCGAGTAATAAATATTAAAGTTAACATAATGTTTAAGTTTGGTAAACTATCCACAATTGTTCCTTTTAGATCAGAAAGATAAAAAAAGATTACTTATTCTTATATTGTTTATGTAAAATGTCTACATAGCTTAGGATTTTCTTCCTCCCACCTCTGTGCTCCATTTATAACTTCCTCACAGAAATCTTTGTGGGATCGTTTGAACCACTAACACTGACTGAAGAAACAATAAACAGCAAAATCTGGAAGAAAATGTGAAAGGCCTAAATATTTATAGCTATTATCTTTTATTGACTTGAGTCAAGCATGCTTTTGGGTTCTCCAAGTTATTTATGAATAAATCTACCAAGTATTAAAAAAAATTTAATACCCTGTTAGGTTTGTCGGAGCATTTTAAAATCCACTGTGTGAGCATGAGTCAATTGAGGCGGTTACACTCATCATGTCACCACTGCAATCCATGAAACACCACTCTGGAACTATAATACACGTAGGAAGAGCCCTTATATACTATGAATTGAGCTTAAAACTTATTAATAAGGATTATCAACAATTTTCATGTTTAAATAACCTTATTATTAGCCCAGCAATTATGTCCCAAAGTCAAGGACTGTCTCACCTGTGGCACGGGGTTTATCATATCAAGAGTCTCTTTGCCCCAATAGCATTTCACAACATGACCTTCAATGGTAGTACCATTTACAGAAACAATTGCATGTGCTGCACTTTCATGGGAATTGAACCTATTGAAAACAATATTAGGAATCACCAAGATAAATTATTTTAAATATTTGTGAGGAAAACCTACTTGTAAAAATCCAGACAAATTCAACAGATGTTCTGGGAGGAAAAAAAGAACCAAAGCGAGCCTGAGGAAAAACCGGCAGCTCACAAAAAAATAATCAATAATGGCACCCTAGTAACACATAAAAAAATAATAACTAAATTGAAATGGCATATTTTCTTTGCTTTTACCAAAGACCTTGTATTTTTGGAAAAACTTTAATGTTTTGTTGCCCATGTATGGGAAGAAAGAAATTACAAAACTGTATCAGCAAATACGTAATATGCTCTGCCTCAGCCTCCCAAGTATCTAGGACTGCAGGTAGCTAATGGTTCATTCTTCAGAAAATCACTGTATTAAGTGTTCAAAATTTATTTGGGGAGGAAAAAAGTTTTGTAAGGAACTACCCCTACCGAACAAATGAATATCCTTTATCTGGAAAGACTCGAATTTCCATTATTTGTCCAAATGGAGAAAAAGTCTGACGCATTAGTTGTTCTGTTAAGAGAAAAAAACAAAACAAAAACAAAAGAAACCACACTAAGTTATATTAAAAATCTACAAATATTCAGCTTCTCAGTTTAAAAGTCAGTGTTACGATGCCACACAGGCAAAGCTCCCATACCTGTTAGCCCAGAAGTAACACCTCCACAATATACAGTACAGTTGCTTGGACTAGACTGATTTACAACCTCATCATATGACAGCTGTTTTGTGTTTGCTGGGGAGAAAAACATGTTTTGTATCTTCAGTTCATTAAATACAATGTTCAGAAGATGGAAAGTAGCATGAATTATATTACTGTAATAGCAATATTTACTTTGATCAAAATGCTTATAAAATACGTATTACATTTAAATTCTTTAAGCTCCCCCCAAGAATATCTAAAAAAATTACTCAGTATTCTCTATTTAATAGGAGACTTGACATTAGAGATAATATAACTTATTAAAGTTACAAAAATGAAAACTAAGTACATTTTTGAATAGCAGTCTTGATTTGCTTCTATTTCTGCAATAAGTCTCCAGGAACAGCTCTAACATTTAAAATCTAGTGTATTTTTCTCCAAAATTCCACATTTCCTTTTCTTCTCCAATACACCTACACTCATAAGTACTCTTTGGAGCTGGAGGCTTTCGTGTTGCCCAGTTTGTTCTGATTTGTCTTCCACCAAGCCACTGGCCACCCATCTGTTGAATGGCGTTTTCAGCATCCTGTTCCGCACATTAGAAATGACAAAGAAGCCACAATTAGTGGATGTTACAAACAAATTTTAGCAGTAGATATCATAAAGTTCGTGGAGCAACTAAGTTTATTAGCAAGGAAAATCCTGTTTTATATAGCCCGACAAGCCTGTTAGTGACAATTTTCAGTTTCTCATTCACCCAGTTAAGTATTGAGCCCTTACCAAATTCTAGGCACTAAGTTAATTAACAGCTAGGGTACTGCCAAAAACAACAAAAAAGAATGGTAGGCAAGAAAAAACGTGGTATGTCTGAAAGAAGAATGGGCAGAAGACTAGTATGAGCAGAATCTAAGTGAGCAAAAAGGAAGGGTGCCAGAGAACATAACTGAAAGGCTTTTTGTTTTTGTTTTTTGGTGGGACTGGGGTTTCACACTTGCAAACCAAGCACTCTACTATCTGAGCCACAGCTCCAGTCCATTTTGCTGTGGTTATTTTGGAAATAGGGTCTCACAAACTATTTGCTCAGTCTGGCCTTAAACCACAATCCTCCTGATTTTAGCCTCCCAAGTAGCTAGGATTACAGCAGTGAAATCACTAGCACCTGGTAAGATTGTATGTTTTATTAAGTAAGATACTGATCTGTTTTAATTTATTTTTTATTTTACTTTTCTGTAGTATTGGAAATTGAACCCAGGCTCTCATGCATGCTAGGCAAACACTAAAGCACTGAGTTACACCTTCAGCCTGAGATTGATCTATTTTGAGGTCACTGTTAGTGCAAGGAGGCAAATGGTTTAGGAAGATGGGTATAAAAGCAAGACATTATAAAATGTCTCATAAAAGGCCAGTAGTAGTGTGGTAGTAATGGATATAACCTAAAGGAAGAGTCAAGAGGATGGGATGGGGGAAGACAAAGTAAGCAAAGGAGACTAATCAAACATAACCCCTATGTTCCTACTTGAAGACAATTCTAGCTTTTACAGAAATGAAGAGGTAGACTGGGAGGGAGGAAAGGAGTACAGTCAAAGAATAAACAAGAGCTCCATCTAAGACATGGTGGGCTGGACGTGTGGCTCAAGTGGTAGAACACTTGCCTAGTAAGTGCAAGGCCCTGAGTTCAATCCCCAGTACTACAAAAAGAAAAAAAAAAAAAGACATGGTAAGTTTAAGATGGCTGTGAGACATCTAAATGAAGACCATTCAATTCTAGTTCCTACTAAATATGGATTCAGTAGTGCTTTTAAAAACAGTAAAATCCTACATTTTCCATAATCTCAAATGGGAAAAATGAATTTCTAGCCCACCCAAATCCCCAATCTTTTCCTAAATTCTATTAATGTACACTAAAAAACATGTGAATTAGTCCTCTAAGAAACTTATACCAGTTATGGTTATCAATACATTGGATAAAGTATTTTTCTACCTTTCCAAAATATTATCCAGTGATTATCAATGAAGAAGAAAAAACTACATTTGCTGTAATTTTTACTTTCCCATCTCAAGAACAGTAATCTATTTGGTAGAGGGGACATGTACATGGTTGAGCTGGTATCTTTTTGCCAATCAAGGTGTTTTATCACTTCCAACTTTTCTTTGAATTTATAGGTCTTTCCCAATCTCACAGGTTTACTTTCTTCACAGGATTTTCTGCTTTTTTTTAGAAGACAGTTTCATTTCATATAGGAAAGATGATAGCTATACCATGATACATTTAAACAATATTATCAAAAGATATAATACTGCTGTGAGAACAGCTGATCAGTCTTACATTTTACACTCTCTTGCCTAACTAGTTAGAGCCATATAAAAATTTTTATGGCAAAATTTTTATGTAGATTATAAATTTTAGGAAATGATTATCAGCAAGTTATAGTAAATATCTAGGACAGTAAAAGTTTTTAGGAGTAATCAGACATTAGGTAAATGTAAGTACACACAAAAACTAGAAGACAAGACAATTTATCTGGAATTATTGTAAAGAGATGTATTTTTTAAAACCTAGAAGGAGCCATTAAATTATAGCGTATCAAAATAAGTAATAGTCACAACTATGACTTATAGTCATCAAGAAATGACAACTATTTCAAATACTCCATTTACTAAAGTAAGAAAAGCCTTTCTAAAATAAAACATCATTTCAAAAAAATTACTTTTGCATGCTGGGGATGGAATGTAGGTCCTCACGAATGATTAAGTAAGAATTTTGGCACTGAGCACATTCTTGGCTTTTTTTTTTTTGTAGAAACAGGTTCAGATTTTCACTATACAGCCCAGGATGGCCTTGAATTTGTGATCCTCCTACTTCAGCCTCCACAGTGCTGGGATTATAAGCCTGCACCACCACCTCCAACTATGAAAAACTTTCAATGGCTCATTCTAAAGTACTATAAACCAGAAAGTACATTGCTTTCTCCCACTCCCGTAGTATTGGGATTTGAATTCAAAGCCTTACTTGAGTCATACCTCCAGCAGTATATTGCTTTTGTACTTACCAAAGGCAACCACTAATCATAATATAAACAATAAAATTCAAGGTTAATGACGCCTTGGTGGATACCACAAAACTTAGGCACATAAATTCTTCTACCATGCACCCCTGCATTTCTATAAGTATGATTCTGCTGCATTGAACTGCTATAATCCTCAGTTATTATAGTAAAAATAAATACTTATAAAGTATTTATTATTAATTAATATATTTACTTATTTTTGGCTGGGGTTTGAACTCAGGGATTCCTGCTTCCAAAGCAGGCGCTCTACAACTTGAGCTATACCTCCAATTCATTTTGCTCTGGTTTTTTTGGAGATGGGCTCTCACCAACTATTTGCCCCGTTGTCTTTGAACCTTGATCCTCCCACCTTTTGATCTCAGCCTCCCAAGTAGCTACAATTACAGGTGTGAGCCATTAGCACCCAGATATACTTAGTATTTTATATTGGCAATGTATTTATGTTAAAGTATTAGTAAGTCCAATACGGTGACTATTGCTTCACTTTTCTAGTTCTCAACATCTACCCTATAATAGGAAATCCTTTTATAAGTTTTCTGCAGGGGAAAACACAAATAAGAACACTAATACAAGTATGTCACACAAATATATGTTCCATTCCTTTTTATACAAATTTGTCTTTAACCTACCAATATACATGGAAATCTCTCTGTAATCAGTACTGTATTTTCCTTCTTTTTCAGTGAAAATCCCAGAAATTTCAAGCCTATACAAACTTGTAGTCAATAATGTTTACAGAATGAAAAGAAAATATATGTTTTCAAATTCAACTATATATAAAAATAAAGTTCTCGTCCATCAGACCATTTTATTTCTTTTTAATTAACATGGAAATGTAAAAGAGAGATATGAATCAAAGCTGATTTTCTTTGTTGTTTTTTTTTTTTTGGTACTGGGGTTTGAACTCAGGGCCTGGAGCATGTTAAGCACATACTCTACCACTAAGCTACACTCCTAGCCCCCATGAGATTTTTTAATAGCTACTTTTGGCTGATAATTTTAAACATTTTTAATTTGTATATTGTGAAATAGCTTATCAATACTTTGTATAAATCTGGTGCTAAATAAATGTTGAATAAAGAACAAAATAGGAGAAAGATCTTCTAGTAAAAGTGCTAATTATTAGTGAAATGAACACATGGTAGATGAAATAAAAACAAATTGTTCTCATTCTTTACTCTTAAAGTACTGCACATGCACTTCTGATTGAGCTCACCCATTTATTGAAAAAGGAGACAAAGCCATATCCTTTAGACTTTCCTGTTGCCATGTCTTTTACCACTCGGGCATCTCTGTAAACAGAAACAATCAGAAACTGAGATTTGTAAAGTGTCTTCTGGATATAAAATGAGAATCATACATAACTCATTTTCATGTTTCACCTTCATTAAAAGTGAACCTTTAATGTAAATTCACCTTTTATTCTATAAAATTTACCATGTATTGGCAAACTAGGCTTAATTGTATAGACATGCAAATCAGTTACTTCTTAAATATAAGTATATATTATACAGAAACTGCCTTCCACTTCAAACTTTTTTTTAAACTTTTAAATATTAAGCATGGTGAAAGTAGCTATCCACATGAACTACGTAACCACTTAGAAGGTTCTCAGTCACATTAAATGAATGGCTTCCTTTAACCATGCAATTTATAATTTAATATTTGATACCATATTCCACCTAATCATTAAAAAAATTAATGAATTGGAAAGTGTATATTCCCTAAACTAAATATTTCATTTTCTCAGATCAATTTATAATCCCACCCAATTTGGATTAGGGTATTGAGAACTTGACATTTGCAGAAATGCTACATCATTGAAGAAAAATACTAGATATGCACTTTTAAGTTTTAAACTATACAAGAAAAGATTTTATACTGAATTTTATAACAGTATTCATATTAAGATTGATTGGAAACTACAAGATAAAACAGCAAATTTTTTTTTAAAAAGTCAGAAAGTAAAAAAGCACGCCAACATTTATCCACTGTGAACCGTAGCTTGTGCCAGGGCAATTCTGTCCATTCTTCAGAGACACTCTGCAAAATAATCAGAGCCCTATTATTTGAGATTGAGTAAAAACCCAGCCATGATAGCTAAAACTCCATACCTCAAAAAATTGGGACTCAAATTGTGCTTCACAGGCAATCTGCTTTTAAATTAGCCAGGTATGTCACAATGCTTGTTCTCTCAGGACACATGAACAAAACAGGCACTTTTACAACAAAAACCCAAGTCAGAAAGCCATGCAATATAATTTTATATTAATTAAAAGTATACATAAGCATATTTTAGATCAATTTAGGAGTGATTTATTAAGTGCAGTCAAAATGACAAAGAGCTGTTGGTGAAAAGGAAAACTAATGCAAGTCACTTCTCAATATGTAAAAAATATTAAATTACCTGTATGGTACACATGCATTCAAGTTTGTAACTCACTCACTTCTATACCACAATCTGCTCTATTACCCTAAATTCAAGAAGAGTTTAAGCTGTGCAAATTAGGGAAAGTATTGTATTTTTATGCTAAATATTCTAATAGGCCACTGTTTATTTTACATTTTACATAAATGAAGCATGGTTGTAGGCACCCCACAGAGAAGATCTGATTAGCATGAGAACACTTCAACATAAAATTATCAATTTGTCTCCTAGCACAACAATAAAATAAGCAACAAACAAACAAAACAGGGAAATGTGCTATTAATTTCCAAATGGTTCTTTTAAACTTGAGAACAATAACTCCTTGTACAGCCTAAAACTCAAACATACATTAACTCAACTGAAAATTAGGAAATTTAAAGGCCTTACCAAGAAAAAAAAAAAAGTATTTGCCACAATTGTGGGACCATAAAAAAATCTACAGACTAAAAATATGATGCCAACATATTTAACAAAATCATTGATTAAAGTAAGGCCGACAAGGCCCTGAGTTCAAACCACCAAGTAAAAAAGGAATTATTGATTAATAATTAAAGTCATGAGGTTGCTAAAACTTGAATGTCATTTAACTTAGCCAGTTGTTAAACAATCTTTTTCTAATATGGACTAAAATTCTCATTTGCAGAAAAGCCACTTCAATCAAATCAAATATTTACCAAAGTAGCTACTTTATTTGTTCACAAAGTTACAAAAATATTTTTTTTTAAAAGCTTCATGAAATGTTCATGTTGAAATATATTCAACTCTTACTTCTCTTTGAAAAGATTTTCTAAGAAGAATAGCAAAGATGTAGAGCAAAGATCTTTCCTTTTTTTTTGGGTGGTACCCAAGGCTTCACAATTTGTGAGGCAAGCACTATTCTGCTTGAGTCACACCTCTAGCCCTAGAACAGCCTTTTGATGGATTTTCCACTACTGAGGATAGGTTGAAATTTACAAAGATTCTCCACATGAACATGAAAACCCACAAGATTCTGCATTTACAAATTTACAGAGGCCTTCAGAGGTCAAAGATTAAAACCCTTCAAAAGTCTAGACATTTGAAGGTAGGCATTATTGAAATCCTAAAACAGATTAAGGGGAATATTGAAGAAATTAAAACTCTAATTTTCTTAGGAGGTTCTCACATAGAAAAATGTCATCTGATAGAAGACCTCATTTATGAGCTCTAACCTTGTGACTACCTTTAAAATTCAACATTTTTGTCATCATTCACTACACATTGCTACCCTCTTAAAAAAAGACTAGTTGAGTGGCTCAAGGTGTAGTCCCTGAATGCAAACTCCAATACCGCAAAAAAAAAAAAAAAAACAAACCAAAACACACATACACACACACAACTCCAAAAACTGATCACCAATGCTCCTGGCATTTACTTTCTAGTCCCATCTCATTTCTGCCATTCATCTCTTCAAACCAAACCACAACTAGCATATTCTTCCTAGTACTCTTTTAGTTGAAACAATAAAAAAGCAACCCAAATCATAAAACAAATTTCTAAATTCAACAATCACTCCTTATAAAGTATTGTAAATAACTTGTTTTTCCTGCTCTAATATGGCATGCTTTTCAAAATATTAAAGTTCTATTATAAATGCTACTGTGAGATATTCATAAAAAGCCTAAAATATATGATGTAGTATCAATTGCAAGGAAGATAGTGCTTTACCAAATATGATAAGGCACAATTATTAATGATTTAAAAAAAAAAAGAATACATACCAAGGAAATAACATTTAGCAACTGCTTTTCAGGTTGAATTGTTAAGGATTTTTTGTTTGTTAAGTTATATTAAAACAAAATACAGGCTATTAGAAGTTCCCAAATAATTCCTTAGTCATAGCACAAAGTTATTAAAGATTATTATCAAGCAAGCAAGGCACATATATGAGAAGCTATAATATGCCCAATGGCAAATGTCTCTTAAAGCTACTGCTAATTGAAAAAGGATTTAAAGATAATTAAAGATCAAAGGTTTGTTTATTAATGGGAAAGCAATCTTTGGCTGTTAACTTCTAGAATAACCTCTACACAATATAATACACAATACTTAAGTGTTAAAACTTAAATTCACATAACAATTATTTTCAAGTTAATTTTACATAAAATTATGCACAAGCATTTTATTTATCTTCTGTTACTTACGATATTCTTCCAAATGGTGCAAAAGCTGCTTTTATATCTTCAGTTGTAATTTCTGGACTGAGATCACCAACAAACACATGGAAATGATCTTATAAAGGGAAGGAAGGGGAAGTGAAAAGAAAAATAGAACTTTAGAATTAAAAAATACTAAAATTGATCCAATAAAGTGCTCTTAAAATAATTTGATTACAATAATGTATAAATAAAACACTATCCTATCTCTATTAAAATCCTATCAATTTTAAGCATAACAAATCAAAGTAACAATATAGGAAAGATTCTTCTAAAAGAACTGATACAGCTAACTGGAAATTTACATATTTCTATTTCTATTTACAGTCAATTATTATATTGGTCTAAAAAATAAACTGAATATGCAACAAGTTTCAGTTCTGCAAAAAATTTAAAGACTTAGTTACCATTCTAAGAATATCTACTTTTATTCATTTTACCACTATATTTAGGCATTACAAATTACAATAAAATAGTGGTATTGTAAATTATGTAGATTAGATTTGCCTTAGTTAAGGCAATTTTCTGAAGCTAGCTACATGACATACTTGGTTTAACCATATTTTGTGAAGAACAATCAAAGAAATACCTTGCATTGCAACAGACTGATGTTAAAGTATTTGACAGTTTTCTCAAAAGCCAACAGTTTTGGTTGCCCAGACATTACACCATTCAGTTTATGTGAATCCATGTGCAAGTGAACTAAGACTGAAGGCAACAGAATGAAAACAGTAATCCCTTCACTTTATATCAGAGCCATTTAAAAAAAAGCATTGGAGAGAAATAACCATCCCATATTTGAAGTTTTTTGTTTTTAAAAGACAATTCTCAAAAAAAGAAACATTTAAAAAATGCAAACTCGTTCGATGACTACGTTAAAATGGATATATATATCTATATCAGTTTTGATAAAGTATATTTGGAAAGAAAAGTTACCCCTATTTGGCAGGCCTTAAGCAACATTTTGGGTTGCTCTTCAGGAAACACTGTTTCAGGAGCAACTTGAGCACTTGGAAGATGTGTATATGAAGTCCAGGTGACTTCAATGAAGTAGGGTATCTTGCCCTTTAGTTGGTGAAAGTATTTCTAAGACATCAGCTGCTACCAAGGGGGACAGAGAACTTGAACTAGCAACAAAATAGTGGACAAGCCACACTTGGTAAACACTGGGAAGAAGGGGGAAAATATTGCCAAAGAGATAAATATAAATACTACTCCTCCCTCCCACCTCCCCCCAACATCAAACAAAAAAACTTCAGTTGGTTAGTGAATACCCTTTTCAAGAGATTTCATTTTATGTTTAAGAAGATACAATTACCTTGTGAACGCTGTGTGCTGACAACGGTACTACCTGATGACAAAGATTAGATTTGTTCTTAAATTTATTAACACAAACACATTAAATCATATCTTAGGATAACGATCAAAACATTACTGCAAACATGTATGATGCTTATATGCTTTACAATAAAACTACTGGGTATAATAAAAAAACGTTCAGAGAGTATAAAATATACTTACTGCTTGTATCTTTCTTTTGACTGCTGGGGGTTGTTGCCCAATTCACTTTGACTTCCTAAAAAAAAAGTTGTTACATTTATAATCTATAAAAATAAAGGTCAAAAATCAGATTTGCCTCTATGTACACACAGGAAAAGTATATGAAGCATTCAATGGGATACTAGTTCTGGTCTAAGTTTCGATACTCATCTTTTGACCTACAAATCAAATCCAAATCTTTAGACAACTCTGTTAATGTTCAATAACATTTCTTGAAAGCTATCAATAAATTTTTCTTTTCATCCTTCCCCACTGGCCTGCAACGTTACAAGATGTTTCATTCAAACTGCAGTAATTCAAGAAATATTTTATTATGTATCATATGTTAAGCACCATGAAGAATACTAACATAAACACAGGCTTCTGATCTCTCTAAAAGCTGTTATCCCACCATTTTAAATAGGAATAACTGACCTTTTGCAAGCAAGTGAATATAATGCTTCAAAATAGGAAACAAAACCATATATAACTTAAATTTTTTCAGTGTAAGTCACCTACTTTAATTAGGACAGCTTACCTTACCCATTATCTTCCGCCCATTCATAGCAGCTAGTGCTGCAGCTGCATGGCGATGCTCATGAAACTCCACAAAACAGTATGGATCATTTCCAGCTGTCTGATGGAGAAGAAATACAAAAATCAATTTTAAGCTTTATTCTCCCATTATTTTAAAATTTAAAACATTCCTAGCCAAGTTTTATATACTCTAGTTATCAGGCCATGGAGAATGGATAGTTTGTTCCACAAGTAAATATTCGTATGAAAAATGTATACACTTGCCAGGAGTGGTGGTACACGCCAGTACTCTCAGCTACTTAGGAGGCAGAGATTGGGAGGATCTCAGTTTGAGGTTGGTTTGGGGAAAAAAGCTTAGTGAGATCCCATCTCAAAAAATAAGCCAGGTATGATGACACCCACCTATTTGTAAACCAGCCATGCAGGAGACATAGGTAAGAGAACTGAAGTTTAAGACAAAGCTAGTGCGAGACCCTACACAAAAAATTGGAGGCACGGCTCATGTGGTAAAGTGCCAGCTTTGTAAACATGAGACCCTGAGTTCAAACCCAAGTACTGCCTCCCCCCAAGAAAAAATAACATTTCATTTTTCCTTAATCTCCTAAAGATAACTGCTAAAAGAGACTAATTCAAAAATTTAGAAGGAAGAGGCTACCATAAAATTCAATATACTAGGATTACACTGTTTTTTGTAAAAAAAATATATATATATATTAGAGAAGTTGGCACAGGTAAATGTTCACAGACATTAGAATGTGGTTAGAAAAAGTAGCTTGTACTTAAAAGTAGAGAAAAGGGACAGGAATGGTGGGGCACATTTGTTATCCCAGTTATTTGGGCAGCACAGATTGGGAGGATCATGGTTTGAGCGCAGCCTGGGTCACCATATCAACCAGTAAGCTGGGCATGATGATATGCACCTGTAGACCCAAGCTCTGTGGGAGTCATAAATAGAAGGATCATGATCTGAGGAAGGACCGAGAGAAAAAAATAACAAAAAACAAAACAAAACAAAACCAGGAGACCCTGTCCAAAATTATTAACTAAAACCAAAAGGAAGATGGGTATGGCAGCTTTACACCTTTAATCGTAGTTACTCAGGAGGCAGAGATTGGGAGGATCGTGGTTTGAGACAAGCCAAGATAAAAAATTCTCAAGACCCTCTCAAGATTGCATTGGTTCTCAACCAATACAATCTGGGCATGGTAGTGCATGCCTGTCATACCAGCTATTGTCGGAAGCACAAAATAGGAGGGCAATGGTCCAGACTGGCATGGGCTTAAATTTGAGACCCTATCTGAAAATAATATAAAGCAAAATAGGGCTAGGGACATGGCTCAAGTGGTACAGCACCTGCCTGGCAAGCATGACTTAAGTTCAAACCCTCAGTACTGCAAGGAAAAAAAAAAAAAAAAAAGAAAAAGAACAGGAATTATATCCAGAAAAAAAATTTTAAGTAAAAAGAAACTAAGCATACATATACATTAGCAGCTTTTTTATACTATAGAGTATAAAATTCACAAAAGTAAACATTACACTGAGTAGCCTGGAATTCACATTTGAATAATAAAAGAAATCTAAGTATTTGAGTGATCAAAATACAAAATGTATAAAAAGTAGCAAAGGAGCCAATAATCCTAATTATTTGGGAGGCTGCGACAGGGAGGATCACACTTTTGAGGCCTGTCCGAAAAAATAATTCCTGGGACCCCCATCTACAAAAAACCAGAGCAAAATGGACCGGAGGTATGGCTCAAGCAATAGAGTGCCTACTTTGCAAGAGTGAAGTCCTGAGTTCAAACCCCAGTTCTACCAAGAAAGAAAAAGATGGCAAAGGCTAATCTTTTCTGTAATCAGGCAGTCCTTAAAATTTTGCCTAAGGCTCTTTAGCCACAGAAATATATGAACAGACAGGGAGAGAGAAGAGCAGCATACAAACTAATGGAGAGGATTTACATTCAGATCAACAGAGCTAACATCTTTGCTTTGTCTCATTCCTTCATAGGTGAAATGAGAATAACAGCTTCTTTAAAAGGCTTCTATAGAGTATTTGTGAGAATGCATTAAAATAACTGGCAAGAAACCCATAAATGCCACTACTGGGATAAGGAAGGAGATTAAGAAAATACTGACTTTAAACCCCTGTTATTTTTCTCTTTCTTGTCTGTAGGTTCAGCGATCTTTTCTGCTTTATCCAAAGGCATAATAATATTAAATGTGATACAAGTATGTAAAGGATAAAAACATTTGCTGATTTCATCTATATTTTAAGTAGATAACCCTGAAGCATTAGAAGAACAATTTCACAACATTTTAAGAGCTAAGACAAGTCAATTGGCTAAACAATTACTTTTTAAAATACCAAAGTTTTTTTTTTTTTTTTAAGAGTTAAATTGGACTATAAACGGAAAGAAAGGAGCAGAAACACATAACAAATTTCCTCTCCTGGAAAAAAGAAAACCAAAAGCCTATAGGAAGAAAAGTCCATGGGAGAAAAGCAAATAAAAAAAATTTCCCCTCAAAAAAACCTAATTATTTTTCATGGTGCTTGGGATCCCCCCAGGACTTTGCATAAGCTAGGCAAGTGCTCTATTACTGAGCTATATCCCCAAACCTTGTATTACTGAGCTATACCCCCAAACCCTAAATTTTAAAAATTTACCTTTTTATAGCTATCAGTAAGAGTTAACACCAATTATATGTACAAGTTCAAAGTATTTTCTAAACATTAAGGTCTGTTGGATAGGAATTGTCTAAATGCAAGAAAAACTTAAATTATGACCTTTAAAAAGAAAAAAACACCTTCATTGAATCGAGTGTCTATTTTTACCCATTTCCCAGTGTAACTGCAGATACTGAAATTGTAGATTAACCAATTGATGCCACATATAATTCTTATGCCTCAAAGCATTATTATTATTTTTTGTGATACCAGGGCTTGAACTCAGGGCCTTCACCTTGAGCCACTCTGCCAGCCCTATTTTTGTGAAGGGTTTTTCGAGATAGGGTTTCCAGAACTATTTGCCTGGGCTGGCTTCCAACCGTGATCCTCCTGATCTTTGCCTCCTAAGTAGGATTACAAACATGAGCTGCCAGTGCCCGGCACCTCAATGCATCTTGAGACTGACACACACATACACACACAATTTGCTCTTGAAATGACTAATTCTATTCTCTTCTTAGAAAACTCAGTTACTAAAAGAGATTAATTACAAATTCACTCATATCCCTCTGAATTTAGATATTAACTAAGAAGTTTTGTAAATAATGGTTTTAATTAATGTGTCAAAAAAGAAGATAACTGAGTAAAATACCCTTACATCCATAATCATTTTGCAGTTTTTACAAGGTCCAATCTGGCTAAAGAGCTGGAGGATTAGAGCTTCTGTCACATCTCTGGAAAGGTTACCGACGTATCTGAAACACACACACACACAAAAAAAAAACAATTTCCCATTTTACCTTTGCTTCTTTTGCATTTGTTTCCAAAGCTGCTTACTGTAAAGTGAATTCTGGGAATAGGCATATCTTTGCCTAAAACCATATTACTTGGGAGTAGCTTAAAAGGTTTAGCACTTCAATTTCTCTTTCAAAATCAATGGTACAATAGGATATCTGCAAATACATTAGACACTGTTCGTAGAGAAGCTAGTGTGAGTGTATACACTGTGTTTTACTCAAGATTTTGTAAACCAGTCTTGATGCCTGTTTTGAAGTTTCTGAACTTACCTTAGAAAGACATGATTTGAAACCCTCCCCCACCCTTTTTTTTGGGGGGCAGTACTTAGGACTGAACCAAGGTCCTTGTGCTTGCTAAGCATTCTACCACTTGAACTACGTCCTCAGCTCAGTTTGTATTTTGTTTTTGAGATAGGGTTCTTTGTCCAGGCTGGCCTTGAACCTTGAACCTTGGATCCTCCTGCTTCTACCTCCTAAGTAGGACTACAGGCATGCACCACCACTCCCAGGTCCTTTTAAAATTCTTACCACTATTAGATATACAGAATATTTTATATGCTCAATCCTGGGAAGCATTGCAAATATTCCTTTTGACAGCACTGTGGTTTGAACTCAGGGGCTCCTACTTCTTGAGCCACTCCACCAGCCCTTTTTTGTGTTGGGTTTTTTTTAGGTAGGGTCTCCTGAAGCATTTGCCCAGGTTGGCTTCAAACCACAATCCTCCTGATCTCTGCCTCTTTAGTAGCTAGGATTACAGGTATGAGTTACTGGTGCCAAGCTCCTACTTCTATACTACTACTGAAAAAGAATTTTTCCCCAATTTTTGATTTATGACTTCCCTAACAGTGTCCAATTTACGTAGACTTTGGTTATACAATAAACAAACCTGAGCAAATTGCTTTTCAGGTGTTGTAGATGCTCACAAAAGAATAGGAAACCTTTCTCTGAACATCATTATCAGTGGAAAAAGGGCGAAAGAGAACACAAAAATTCTAGATAATCTGAGTTGGTAATTAACAGACAAAATAAGCAAATACTGCATTACAAGTCCACATGATTGGGATGATCTTTATGTAAAAGGTCTGTAAATAACTTTTCAAAATGGGACTTTCAAATGAGATTAAACATGTGATAGTTCAAGGTTTATTAATTCAGAAATCAGACTCCCAGTAACTGTGGAGTTTCTCATTTCTTTTGCCAGGTCCACTTCTGAGAATTTGATGAAAATAAAAATAAAAAAATAAATATTTATCCCTGTACACAAAGTTTGAATTCAATTTCTTCTTTCTATTGTTCAACACATACATAATTGAGTGCCTACTATGATGAGGCCATTGGAATAGGTTAAGATGGTAAAGATATACAAAAATATTTAAAGATCAGATAGAATAAGCCTATGTAGAAAAAAAAAAGAAAGTTAACAGGAACATTTACCACAAATAGCAATGTCAATATTGAAGGTTATTAGTCTAAAAAATCAAAAATTACGGGGAAAGAATTAAGTATTTATTCTGCCTTTTGAGTACATCTCCAAAAGAGAGGTATCCTTGGCTTTAGTTAATGAGGGAAATTTCTCCTTTACAGAAGAATGTTAGTTAATACATATATAAGAAAAGTATTAAATTAACAATGTATTAAGTCTTAATGAGATAATTGGTTCAGGCATAATTTGTGCTAAAGTAACAGAGTGAAAGGTTGGTGTGAAAGTGGACATTCACAAGATGCACATTACTTAGTGAATTGTAAAGGGAAAAAGCTTCCTTAAAGAACTCTGACCCATGTCATAGATAGGCAATGGGAAATTGTATTTATTTTCTTTTTTGGTGAGACTGGGGTTTGAACTGAGGGCTTCACGCTTGCAAAGCAGATGCTCTACCACTAGAGCCACACCTCCAGGACACTTTGCTCTGGTTATTTTCAAAGTGGGGGGTCTATTTCCTGGGGCTGGCTTTGAACCACATTCCTCTGCATCTCAGCCTCCCAAGTAGCTAGGGTTACAGGGGCAAGCCATTGGCAGCCAGTAATTGTTTGTATTTAATACTAATTATACAGTATCACCTATGAAGTATTTTTTTTTCTTTTTTCTTTTTTTTTTTAGTACTGGGGCTTCAACTCAGAGCCTTCACCTTGAGCCACTCCACCTGTTTTTTTTTGTGATGGGTTTTTTTTTTTTTTTTGAGATAGGATCTTCCAAGCTATTTGCCCGGGTTGGCTTTGAACCATGATCCTCCTGATCGCTGCCTCCTGAGTAGCTAGGATTACAGGTGTGAGCCACTGGCGCCCAGCTACTATAAAGTATTCACATCAGGAAAACCGAATCTGTATCTAAGCAAGTTTTGTTTTTTTGTTTTTTTTTTCCGACAGTCTTACTATGTAACCCAGGCTTGCCTTGAACTGATGATCCTTGTGAACTCTGGGCCTACAGGCATCTGCCACCACTCCACGATAATTAATCTTAAAATTAGATGGAAGTTTCTAGTATATTGGACATATAAAAATAATCAGATGGGCTGGTGGAGTGGCTCAAATGGTAGAGCCTCATTATGCTGCCTAGCAAGCATGAAGCCCTAAGTTCCAACCCTCCCATACCACACACACAAAAAAAGGACATTCAGATGTAGGACATTTTGTAAGACAACTTCACCTCTTCAAACACTGTCCTGGGTCTGGAGTATAGCTCAGTGGTAAAGTATTAGTAAAGCTACATTGCTAGCCGGGTGCTGGTGGCTCACACCTGTAATCCAAGCTCCTCAGGAGAAAGAGATCAGGAGGATTGCTGTTTGAAGCCAGCCCTGGGCAAAGAGCACCTGAGACCCTACCCCCCAGGATAGGGAGGGAGGGGAGAGGGAGAGGGAGCAGGAGAGAGAGGGAGAGGGGGAGGGAGAAGGGGAGGGGGAAGGGGGAAAGAGGAATGGGAGAGAGAAAGAGAAATTCCCAGAATTGCATAAATCCAAATGAACTAGTAGCTTTTCGGAAACTTTAATTCTAGCATTTGCTTTGCTGAAGCTAGAGAATCTAGTGACATGTCGACAGTGCTTAAATCTTAATTGTATCAATTACACTTTGCAAAGTTGCTTTTAAATTTTTATCTGTGCATTTATTTTTGAGATGGGGGTCTCTTTGTTGCCTAGCCTGGCCTCGGACTCATGATCCTCCCACCTCAGTCTCCTGAGCGCTGGGATTATAGGCATGTACCACCACATCTGGCTCCTGAGATATTCTCTGGGAGATGCTACCTAATTTGAAGATAGCTGATAAGCAGTAAGAACAAACTAGCTTAAAAAGAAATAGTTTGTACTGCCTTTACATTTATTTGCTTAACGTGGCCTTTTATACTTTATAAGCTACTGAAGCCTCTACCAACTAACTCTGCACACAGCAGTTTAGACACTTACTTGGTCTTCAGAAGTTACACATAAAACTTGCTCTTGGCTGGGTGCAGTGGCTCACAACCGTAATCCTAGCTACTTGGGAGGTGGAAGGGAGTTCTTGAAACCCCTCCACTAATAAAATCTGGGTGAGGTGGAACACAACGAACATCCTAGGGGTACTGCGAGAAGCATAAATAGGATTATAGTTCAGGTGAGACGGGGCACCAAAGCAAGACCCTTCTTGAAAACTAAGTAAAGCCAGGTGCCAGTGGCTCATGCTTGTAATCCTAGCTCCTCAGATGAAATCAGGAGGATCATAGTTCGAAGCCAGCCTGGGCAAATAGTTTGTGAGACCCCTATCTTGAAAAAATCCTTCACAAAAAAGGGCTGGTGGAGTGGCTCAAGGTGTAGGCCCTGAATTCAAGCCCCATTACCACAAAAACAAAAACAAAAACAAAAAACCACCTAATTAAAGCAAAAAGGTCGAGGGGCATGGCTCAAATTGTAGAGTGCCTGCCTAGCAAGCACAAGGCCCTGGGTTCAAACAGTTCGAACTCCAGTACCTCAGGGGAAGTGGATGGGGAGGGACACATGACAGGACACTCTTGCTCTTAACCTTCAACACTGTTAAAAGTAACATAAACATTTTCATATTAAAGAAATGAAGCAGAGTGTGGTAGCATATACCTGAAATCCCTGCCTATGGGAGGCTGAAGTACAAGGCCAGCCTGAGCTACATGGGAAGACCCACTCTCACAGAACAAAAGAAAAAAAAAAATCAATGACAAATCTCTCTTCCTTGTGCAAATAAAAACATGGGAAGCCAGGCATGGCAGGGTATGCCCCTAATCCCAGCACTCAGCAGGCTGAGGCCAGAGAATCATCAGTCCAAGGCCAGTCTGGGCTATATAGTGACCCATTCTCAAAAAAAAATAGGGGGGAGGAGGGAGAGAACAGAAAATGTAGCTAAGTGGTAGAGCATGCACAAGGCCTTGGGTTCATCATGAAAACAACAGCAAACATGGGACCTGACCCAATAAACTAATCCCTTCCTTTTGAGCAATAATCACTAATACTTACCTAAAATTTTTATAAACAATGCTGTAACTTTTCTATTTGCTAAATAAATACTAGTTTGAGACCAAAAACCCAAATAAGGGCTGGCGGCATAGGCCAAGTGGTAGAGCACTTGCACAGCATACTCCAAGCACTGGGTTCAATTCCCAGTACTGAGAGTAATGAAAGCTCTCTTTTGGTGACAAATATTAGCAGGGGCCCCACATCCAGTGCCAGTGGAAGCTGTAAGATCTGGTCTTCAGTGGAGGATGTGGTAGCAGTATTCTTCCTGGGATGGTTTGTGGTTTGACTCTGACTATAAGGCTACTAGTTGTGTCTCTTCCTGAAACATTTTCTAAGCCAAGTTCCAAACTGACAAATTGAATGCCCAATATATTTTTAAAAAATTCCTTTCATGCTTAAATTACAGTTTTCCCCTTACTATTTAATATAGGTTCTCTGTTATGTCTACTGGACTACTAAAATGTGAAGTTTCATTACACTTATAGCTTTTATTTCTCAAATGCTTTA